TATTGAAAAGTGAGAATGATAGTCATCTTGAAACAAATTATATGTGCTAAAACGACATTCATTTTGAAAATGAATCTGAATCGGGGGGAGTAACACAAAAAGCTCACAAATCCTCTAAACTCAGCAACAAACTTTGAACAATCAATTCAACACAAAACTAACCACGGAGCATAAATTCACTACACACGATGAACTTAACAAGTAAATCAAATGTCTAAAACTCATACAAAAACCTAAAATAATGAATTGCATAGAAATTTCAGAAGTTCAGTATTAAAATTTCTTGCTCAACCGAAAAACCTAAACAAATAGCGTAATGATTGAACGAAATTGAAGTGAGGAGAAGGAGGTAGAGTAGGTACCTTGCCGTCAGGATGAAAACAAGGATGAATGATGCCGTTCATGTCCAAATACAAGTTGTCGAACTCCATGCCGTTGGGATTAGGTTTAGACACGTCAACGGGAAACGAACCACCGCCGGCGGGTGTTTCCTCCACGACGTCGACGATCGATCGAGGGTACCGATCCGCGAGCCACCGGTAAAACGCTGGTACTCCCATATTTCCGGTTCGGTTCGGAAACGACCAGAGAGAGAGAGGGAAATAAAATTTAAGAGATGGAGATCTCTGTTGCCAGTTTCGAATGTACGAGGAGGATGCGGTGGCCGCCTAGTACTTTGATGACAGTAACATTGTGTTTGGATCCATCGAAATATAGCAGAAAGAAATGGAGTGGAAAATTAGTTTTTCATACATTATACTAAGAGGAATTTTTCACCCAAATAACTTACATTTCACCCCCTAAATTCCATTCTACCCAACATTCCACCATATATACCAATTTACCCATCTTTCACAATTTTTTTTTTTAAATTACAAGGGGGCGTCATTGGTGTTGGAGTCACCCTTATAAATTATAGGGGGCACCATCCCCTTTGGAGGCACCCTATAATTTATAAGGGAGACACCATCCCTTTGGAGCCTCCCTTAAACAAATTTTTAAAATAGTTTTAAATATATAATAAGTTTAAAAATATTTAATAAATAATAATTAACAATTAAAAATTATTTAATAAATAATAATTAACAATTAAAAATTATTTAATAAATAATAATTTTATAAATAAAAAATTTTAAATGATTTTTAAATGATTTTATAATTAATAAATAAATAATAAATAATATTTTCATTAATAATTTCCAAATAATAAAAAATTAAATTATATTTAATAAACTTAATATTAAATAATAATTATAATTTTTATTTAATCACAAATGGGTACATATGAGTGATATGGCACACTAATTTCTACGACCTGTTTTAAATGTCTGTCGTTGATTTGGTGTTTGAAACTGGATGTTTATTTGGTTTGTAGTATCCATAGAGTATGTTTGGTATTGTGGTGGATATTGTTGGTATTCGGACTGTGAATAAGTTTGTGTGAATGGGGTGAATTGGTTAGGGGTATGTTCATATAGTTGTGGTTGTGTGAGTGGGGGTTGGGTTGGCGGTTGGAAATGGGGTTGGGTTGGTTGTTGGGGTCTTGATGATGAGGCTTGTTGGCGTGGGTCAACAAGATATCTTGGATGCGAAATGAAACCAATGGATACCTCCCTATACCAATTCATATATTGGATAGTATGTTTTCTCTCGTATGGAAACACAGTGTCGGACAAAACAAAATGGTTGCGATCCCTCCATTCACGACACTCATGTTTTGCATACTTGGTCCATGGAGAATATTCCCATTGGTTGGAGACTTTACCGTTGAAGCATTCCAAACTAAAGCTTTACACAATCACTATTGTGCATCTCCACGGTGGTGAAGTTGATAATCGGCACCTTTGCACTCCACACTGCAGAGTCATGTTGTTAACTTCATGAATGGTTTCTATTTCTAGATCAAGATATGGCCGTCAAATAAACTGTAGGAGAAAAAAATAATATTTAGTATTTTCTAATAATATTTAAGGAGACTATATTCTAAATAGGTAGGTTAAGAATACTATATTCTAATAATATTTAGTACCTAAATCATCTTGTCCCAAATGATCTATAAGATTTTTGTATTGGGTGATATTGAAATGGGGACAGTTGTCGTAATTCATCCCAAGTGAAGACCACCTACAAATCGAAAAGAAAACATTTGTTAATAATAGGATAAATTAAGTAAAAGACTATGAAAGATTGATCATTCTTGGTCTAAGTAATTACCTTGTAGCGTATGAGAATTCAAAATTATTTTGTTGGAGCGGACCCCCAACTATATGTTCTTATTTTATCTATATCATCTAATAAAACTAAATACATATAGTGGACAGCGTTGCCACTTGTATCGGGACATAAAAATAAATCTATTAATAACATAATATAAATTCTTGTTTTTCTTATTTTCAATATTTCTGGAGAATCTTGGGTTAACCTCATATCTCCAAAAATTCTTTTGAGCCATGATAATAATATTTTTTTGCCCCTCAAATCTCTTGGGATTGGTTCAACCCCTAAGAGTTCTTCTATCACACTACCGCTAGGATTGGTGAGACCGTTTACCGTCTTACCATTAATCGGTAAACCCAATAACATGTGAGTGTCCTCGAGAGTAACTGCACATTCACCTATTGGAAGATGAAATGTATGCGTCTCGGGTCGCCACCTTTCTTGTAGTGGCAAAATGAACTTGGTATCTAGGAGATAATTTGTTATTTTGATGACTTCTCCAAATCCTGCGCGCTCCAAAAATGGTTTAATTATCGGGTCATGTGGGAAATGTTTATGCCCACGAGTTCGGAAGTCATGAGTATTCTACACAACAATAAAACAAATGATTACAATATTGTATTTGTAAAAACATTATAATGCTATAAATCGATACAACATTGTGTATTATCGGGTACAATACTTACATAAGACGCGATGTTGCTTGGTGTTCCTCTATGCATTTCGCCTAATGTTAACAGAGACATTTCTTATATAGTGTGAATATATGAAGAAAATATTGGTAGAATTTGAATTGTGGAATATATTTGATGACTTTTTGAGAATGAGGAGGAGAAGTATTTATAGTAAAAATTTTGAATTTGAATTTTGAAATTTGAAATTATGGTGGTAGAGGTAAAAATTAAATTTGTGTAGTTGAAATATTAATTGTTGTAGAGAGAAGTAAATGAGATGGATGTAGTGTGTAGAAAATATACCACACTTGTCATTCTGCATGCATGCAAATAACACTTTTCGTACACATGTCACGGGAGAGTCAACCCCTATGGCGCCCCCCTTAAATATTAAGGAAGGGGAGACAACCCCCATGGCGCCCCCCTTATATATTAAGGAAGGGGAGCCAACCCCTATGGCGCCCCCCTTTACGAGTTATGGATATTATATTCATGCACTTTTGTTATTTATGGATACATCCGAGAAAAAATTAAATACATCTCATCATTTGCAAACACATCTCTTACACTCTTACACTTTTATTCAAATATGTCTAAAACAACAAATTATATTGTTCATGCCCATTTTAATGGAGACACTTACATCTCTGGGGATTCGGGTTTTGGGTTTCAAAATACAGATGTTACCCGATTAACAATGAGCAGAAAATCAAATTTTTTACATTTCAAAGAGCGAATAGAGTCGGAGATATTGTCTGGTCCAATCTCTCAAATCATATACAGAAGTCTCGTTTTCTTTGACAACAATCAGGTCAAGTATTTTCAAGAGAAAATACAAGACGACAGCGATGTAGATCAACTGTTTGATAGTCATGAACACTCTGGGTTCGACTATATCGAGGTTTATCTATTACTCTTTCATACTCAACATCAAGTTGGTGAAACAACGGATGTAGATGAAGTTAATGTCGTGGACGAGGAGGAAGAAGAAACTGAGGCCATGGTTGATCAAATGGTTAATTTATTCGGGACTGGGGACTACGCTGCACTAACTCCGCTTCAAGACATAGATGAGGAGACACTACCATTAAGGCATATGTATTGTCCTTCCCAACACATGACGAACTTGGAATTGAGTGGAGACGATACTTCCTCATATGTTTTCTACAATCCTTCTCAACAAATTGAAGGTGTTTTGAAAGTGGGAAACCAGTACCGAACAAAAGAAGAGTGTATGAAAGCTATAAGAAAGTTTCATATGGATAACTTCGTTGATTTTTACATCAATCGGAACGACTCGAAACGCTATGTTGTAGTTTGTCGTAACGCAGGTTGCAAGTTTCGGTTAGCAGCGTCCTATCGGAAAAGAAGTGATTGTTGGGTTATAGGTTTGATTGATCCACCTCATAGTTGCACAACCAACATTAATCGGCAAGATCATGGAAAACTAAGCTCTCAATTGATATCCCAAGATATTTTGCATCTTGTGAGCGTAGATCCATCTGTAGAGGTGAGCACAATTATCTCTCATGTTGTTGCACGGTTCAACTATACCCCATCGTACAGGAAAGCTTGGATTGGAAGAATAAAAGTTGTTGAACATGTATATGGAAATTGGGAAAAATCTTACAATCAACTTCCACAGTATTTACTAGCACTTCAAAAATATGTTCCTGGTACGGTTGTAATATTGGAGTCACTATCAGCATACACTCCTGAAGGAACATGTATTGATGGAAGTAGGATATTCTCTCGTCTCTTTTGGGCATTTCAACCATGTATCAAAGATTTTGCGTTCTGCAAACCGGTTATTCAAGTCGATGGAACATGGTTGTATGGAAAATACAAAGGAACATTGTTGATGGCGGTTGCACAAGACGGAAAAATAGTATATTTCCGATTGCCTTTGCCCTGGTCGAGGGTAAGACAGGTGAAGCTTGGAGTTTCTTCCTCAGAAATCTCAGAACACATGTCGCTCCTCAACCCAACTTATGTCTGATTTCCGACAGACATGCCTCTATCGTGAGTGCCTACAACAATCCTGCTAATGGTTGGCACAATCCTCCTTCTGTCCATGTCTACTGCATAAGACACATTGCTCAGAATTTTATGCGGGAAATGAAAGACAAAAATCTCCGCAAAAAAGTTGTGAACGCTGGATATGCCTTAAACCAACCATCATTCATGTATTACCGCGAAGAAATAAGATTGCCAAGCGCGGAAGCATTAAGGTGGGTAGATAGCATTCCAATCGAGAAATGGACAAGGGCTTTTGATGGAGGATGCCAATGGGGTCACATGATCACAAATCTTGTAGAATCCCTAAACGGCGTATTTAAGGGAACTAGAAACTTACCCATCACTGCGTTGGTAAGAGCAACCTATTACAGATTGGGGTCACTTTTGTGGCAAGAGGCAAAAAATGGAGCGCTGTTTTAGAATCAGGGCAAATATTCAGCGAATTAAGTATGAAATATATGAAGGATGAAACTTCTAAGGCGGCCTCACATCGAGTTAGACCATTTGATCGTCACGGTTACAGCTTCATTGTTGATGAGACAATGGATCACAACGAGGGTCGGCCAATGGGACACTACAGGGTGGAACTTCATAAAAATTGGTGCGACTGCGGAAAGTTTCAAACCTTCCGCATGCCTTGTTCAAATGTCATTGCCGCATGTTCCAGTGCTCGTCACAATCCATTCTTGCAACTATCAGAAGTTTACAAGGTCGTGAACTTATTTGGTATCTACAATAACAGTTTTCCAGTGGTAGCTAGTGAGGAATATTAGCCAACCTATCATGGAGACACAATCTACCACAATGAAAATATGAGACGAAACAAAAGGGGTCGCCCCAAAAGCACGCGAATTACAACTGAGAAAATGGAAAGACTATGCGGAATATGTCGTCTTCCCGGGCATACGAGGAATAATTGTCCGAATGTTGGAACCAGTTCTAGATAGATTTAATTTGGTCATTAAAAAAATGTGTAACCTTGAAATTTAATATTTATAACAACTTCTGATTACCACATAAACAAATTGAAATACTTCTATAGCAACTACGCAAATCATTAAAAATATAACGATTATTACAACATAAACTAAGCTATAACAACAATCAAAGTAATATCATCAGTTCCAAACATCATTGGCCTAACTGCGTTGTCATCTCTAATTCGCACCCACTTCCGCCGTATATTTCCGTCTTCAACAGAGAAGTACGAGACAAGTCTTTCAATACTCCTAATGCTTTCACCATTTGGAATGTCTCCTTCTAACCACCGATTCAAATTTCTTCGTAGTTGCTCTAAACTCTAGATGTCCCAAAACAACATCCTTATCAGAGGCTTCGTTCTTAAAAAAATTACATGCCCATATCTTCTAAGATACATGACTCACTCTCCTAAATTTGGATGAAACAATGTTAATTTGAATGAAACAAGTCTAACTATTTATACACAAAATTTTAGTTTAAAATAGTATTATATTATAATTATATTATTTATAGTAGAATTAAAAAATATAACGAAATAAAGGGAGCTCCAAAGGGGATGACGCTCCTCTTTAACTCTTTAAGGGAGGCTCCAAAGGGGATGGCGCCCCCCTTATAAATTACAGGGTGCCTCCAAAGGGGATGGCGCCCCCTTATAATTTATAAGAGTGGCTCCAACACCAATGGCGCCCCCTTGTAATTTAAAAAAAAAACGTCAAAGTTGGGTAGATTGGTATATATGGTGGAATGTTGGGTAAAATGGAATTATAGGGGTGAAATGTAGGTTATTTGGGTGAAAAATTCTCATAAGAGAGTGGATATAAATTTTGAATTGGGACCCATACTCAAATATTTTGCATCTATCTATAATATGAAATTCCAATTTTGCCATTAATGTTGATGTGTCAACAAATCAAGCATCTCTATTTTATTTCTTCAATCTTCTCTTATCGGGCTATTTTTATGTTACTCTCTTCAATGCATTTCCAATTTTTTATCTTCTTTTCTTCTCAAATCTCTCTTTTCTGACCTTTTTTTCACATGTCTCTATTTTTAATATTTTTCTCCACAACTGGAGACATCATCTTCTTCATCACTTCATTTGTCATCAGTAGAGTAAAGTCTAGTTTGAGTTTTCTTTTTTCTAGATCTGGTTTTTCATTTAATATTTTGTCTTCTACTTTAGTTTTATGACTAATATTTGTTTCATGTACATGTTCTTTTTCTAGGTTATTCTTTAGATTTAAAAACTTCTTCCTGATTATTTGTTCTTTTTCCAACCTTTCCAAACTCATTTTATTTCTTCTTCTTCAAAGCATTTAAGGTTTGTACATTATTTTAATAATTTTATTATTGTTCTTTGATAGAAGTTTTTAAACAAATGAGAAGAAGAAATAACGTTACTCGTTCATTTTTCATATATTTTATTTGCATTTTTTGGTTATCAAATTCTCATAAAGTATGTTCATTTGTTTTGGAGTTTTGTTGATTATGGTTATGATATTAATTGCAAATCTTTGAATTCGATGATTTTACTTTATTAGTTTTGTTTAATATTTTCTTTATCAGGTCAAACATTTTCAAGATTTTGGTTTCTTTTACCTTTAGTCAAACTCTAGTTTCTTTCATTTTCAGGTCAACGAGTCTCAAAGATTTAGTTCTTCTACTAAGATTACGGGTTTTTACTCTGACTTCTTTCATCTTTAGTATTGAAAGTTGTTTTTAATTAATTTGTTTGCGCTGTTGGTTTTGTAGTTGATGTTAAGTTGAGAAAGTATTTGTTACTTGATCGAAATTTTGGAAAAATGCTGAAATTTTTGGATATGTTGTATTTGTAGTTTTTTTTTTTTGAGTTTTTTTAATTCATATTTAGAAACTATTTGTAGATTATACTTTATTATGTGTTGTTATAAATTTTTTTGAATTTTATATTTCATAACCTCTTTTTAATATTTATTTTATTATAAATGTTCAAATATTTATTTTATTATAAATGTGAAATTGGATTTTGATGTAATGTGAAATTGGATTTTGATGGTTATTAAATAATTATTATTTTAAAAGTTCAATCAAATATGTTTCACATCAAATGTCTAATACTTAAATATTTTCTAATATTAAAGCAGAGTAAAGTCACTTCATATCATCAAACTCAGTGTTACTTGTAAATCAATTATTATTATTATTATTATTATTATTATTATTATTATTAATAATAATAATAATAATAATATCTTATGATTTGTCAGGATGCAGGGGCTTTGGAAATAAGAATGATCCAAATTATGATGTTCAAAGATCAACAACTTCAATGTTGTGATCAAAATTGATTTTTCATATTCAATTAATAAAAATGATCTATTCTTGATAGTGTTTTCCTTGAAAATCAGAAAACAACCGCTGATCTTCCAAATCTAACTTTGGTGACTCACAGGATCGATCAGATTGATCCTAGGACATGTGCTAAAAGATTTATTTTTTGGTTTTAAGACTTTATCCAAGTTCCACACTCGAATAAAGTTGGGATAAACAGAATCCTAAAAGAACATCTATTCGACTACGGGTTAATTTGAAGGTAACATAAGGCTTCTAATAAAAGAGAAGAAAGTTTGTTGGTAAGGGTGAATTTGGATTGAGGGCGAAGAGAAAAGAAGAGAAGTAAGGTAAAGAGTAAAAGGGTAAAGACAATAAAGGCAATAAAAGACTTTGTAAAACTTAAAGTAAAAACAAGTAAATTGCATTAAGTTTAAAAGATGGTGTGTTTACATCACGTACATTCTCTTACAATACTCATTTTCTCTACACTCGGATACTTGGAGTAATTTCAAGAGTAACTTGTACAATAGTAAGTTACAACACACTTTGGATATGTCTAAGACACTCTATTTATAGTAACAAAAAATAACCTCTAATAACTTCCACCATAATTTCCTTCCGCCACTTGTCTTAAATGCATGGATCCATCATCCATAAGGTGACATGTGTCTTCCTCCATTTTCCACAAGCAAAACCGTTCCCTCCAACATTCAAATTTCAAATACTTCGACGCACCGTTCGTTATTGGCAGGCGGTCGAACCCTTGGCCTCGGGGTGGGTCCTTCGACTTAGCTTTTTCCTCCTTTCGACCATTTTTGTATTCAAAGTATTCTCCACCCTTTTCTTTGGACACTTTCTTTCTAGCTGAGGCGTCGAATTTAGGAGCTAACAAATTGCCCCCCAAAAATGTCTTTTCAACTTCGACCGTGGAAAAGCACATTTTTTGACAACATTTGACTTTCGACGCCGCTTTGCCCTTGTAAGTGCCATCTGGTATTCTTTCCACCAATGTGAGCCTGGGAAGTTGAAAGAGAATGAAAGAGAAAAAAGAGAAATAACTATGAACACGCAAGCTACTATTCCGCCGCCTTGATGCACATTTTATGACGTCATTATCATCATGGCTATTTTCTCGGGACTCAACAAAATCGTGGGCCATCGTCACCCTAAAATCCTCGGGGACGTGATTTGCAGCTACTACCTCTGCCATTCCACATCCAGGCATACACGTGGCCCACTACCTCTAGCCCCCCAATGATGGAAACTTTTAGTCTTCCACTCACTACATAAGTAATTTCTTCGGTTGTTTTCATTTTTTACAACTTTTCTAACTTCTCATAACTTTCCTTGCTTTTTCTCTAATTCTCTGCTCTCAACCAACCAACTCTTATTTCTTTCAACAATGGTCGATCATCAGAAAAAGAAAGCGCAACCTAAGGGACAAACTTCTGCACCCGTACTTCCTCCTTTTGCTAGTTTGAGCGACCCTCAGGTGGTAAAAAATCAACAATTCATCTGTGAGCCCCTGACGGAGGAAAAACGACACATCTACGAATCTCAGGTAATCATCCCTGTTAATGTTGCAGGGAGGCCTTTAGCTATGTCTGGGCCTTTACCCCCTCCCGATCTCGATTATTCCGCCATCAAAGATTTCTTCCCTTCTTACAGAACCACTAAACCCCTAGAGCAAAGAAACTTCAACAAAGCTTCCACTGATGGTCCTGACAACCTGAGCCTCTTCGACGTGGACTTTAAGTATCTTCAAGACGGGGCCAGATTGTTTAGGGCCACCCCCTATTTCAAAGATTCTGAACTCTATCTTAACTGGCTGACAAAAATAGAGAAGGTAAAAGCCCCGGAATGGAAGGAAACAGGGATTTACGATCTGATTATGATGTCGAAGGTAGGCCCTTCGTACTGCCCTCTCATGTTGGCCTCCTCCTTATTCTTCTAGGATAGGACACACAACACTTTTCACCTTCCTTGTGGGATGATGACACCCACTTTGCTCGACATAGCTGCCATCGTAGGCCTAAAACCCTATGGCCTCGTTTATGATCCCGAGATCGATAGTCATGACAGTATTGGTTTCGCCAATACTAAACACACCTATACAGCTTTTGTCC